AAAGGCATAGCTTAAAAAGTGGACGGGTATTCTTCAATCGCTCCGAAAGATATTGCAATGTTTGTTCAGAATTATGGAATAAAAACATACCGGCAACGAATTACAAAAGCAAAGAAAAGAGTTACAAAAACAATTACAAAAGCAAAGGGGAGCAAATGGGAATGGCGAATATAACTGAATAAAATACGTCAGATGTCATCATCACACAAGATATGAAGCCACAATATGTGTCCTGCTAAGATTTTGGGATCTCAACCAACAGAGCATTTTTTAAGAAATTGCAACTACTGGGGCCAAGTCACACTTAGGGCCTTTTCCCCACATAGTTACGCTTGTGCTCATAGCAGGCACTAGCCCTATTTGAATGAAGAGGTGGGGGGAGTGTAAATGAAATTTTCCCGACTCATTTCAAACGCTAATCCAGTTCTAAATGCATAAAGTTTCGTTCACGGAAGTGCAGGACTTCCGCCGGCGTATCAACGTTCATTCTTCGTGCGCGTAACCAGAACTTGGAATACACATCACAGAACTTAATAATGGACAACATCGATTTTAGTTAATTTAAATCGTTATTAAGGGTATATTACATCAATGCCCTCAATAGTCGTTATAATACAGATGATCGAAGAACGTGGAAGACAATATGTTTAAGATGTAGCTGTCCTCGGAATATGAACAATGAAATAGTTTGCTGTAGTTAAAGGTGATGTTGTGCAAGACCGGCAATTTTTGCTGCGACTTACACCGCGGTTCCTGTCGCAGACTCGTGCTATCTAAACGGCACGACATTATATATTTTATTTCTTTCACTTTTATTTCTATCATGTTTGTATGCACGTGTGTGTTTGTTTAATAAATAAAAAAAGTTTAATAGATAAAAAAATTATTTTCCCAAAATGGTTGGGGATTGGGGGGGGGGGGAAGAAGTCTCTCTACATTAAAAACTTTTCTTTATTTTCTTTTCGGTTAACGTAGCACTGTTTGTTTAATTTTCCGTAATTTTTCATACATTTCTCTAAATTTTAGCTACAATTATTAGTTTTCAATCAGTGTCACTCAAATATTTCAGTTTGTTTCCTTCCTATCCAACTGGGATTAGATAATTTGCCGACTACCTGACGACTGCATGGGGGTATTCCAAACACCACAACCCCGCCCCCTTTAGCGAAGCTCCTGCCTGTCGTTCTGACTTTTATAAGATGGAATGTCGGGAATGTGAGAGGATATGAGAAAGTAGCTATGAGAAAGCAGCTAGCAGGCAGATGCAGCTTTTTCAACAAGGTTGACTTTTTACTAATCATTAGATCAAAAGGGCCATTGCAGTTCATCTGAAAATCTTGCTTCACTACTGGGGCAAGTAAGGCCTACTGAGGCAAATGCCCCAGTAGTTATATAGTTAAAAAATGCCCTGCATATGCAGATTGTGGGTAATGCTCTGCTATTTTGGCAAGATTTTCAATCTCATTCACAAAAACATCAATCTTTTCAGCAGTAAATGTTTTGGCAAAATCGCGTGAGCCGATTGCTGATCCGAGCATGTCATGACCTTCTGAAGTCACTTTAATTCCTGTTTCTTCAAAAACTTTAAGTGCTTCTTCTTCGAACTCTGACTTCACAACGAGGTGCGTACGGTTTTGCTTGGATTTGGGAAATAACCCATCTGCAGGCCGACGGATAGTAGGCATTGCCACCATCTTCTTAAAGAAATTATCTTTCCGCCACCTGAGGAATCGTCAGCAAACCATACCTGTTTAACGGTTGGTTAATGTGATCTCAGCTTACGAATTAAGGGTGTTACGGCCAGAGCATGCATAGCCATTGCGAAAGGATCTACTTGGGTAATTCCTTCCGATGACTCAATTTTAGCCCCTCCCGTTACGAATAACCGAACTTGTGCTTGATAGGTGTTATTTAGCACTCTTGATAAGGAGGGGCATATTATACCAATGTTATGTAATGCTGCTTGCCTGTTGACTGTTTTAAAAGCATTACTAGCATCCACTAGTAATACTGCTTCTGTTTCATCTGATGATATGATCTCTCTCATTGCATGAACTGCTGTTTCACATCCAGCTTCGTGGCCTGCGCATGCTTGTAGTGGACCCACGGCCTCCTGAACATAATTTCTCACCACTTTGAGGATAGACTTTGCTATTATGCATCTGGGCATCTCGCCAATGCCTATAGGTCGAATCCCAGGATTCATATCAAGTGGTATGAGTCGGCAGGCCACAAAAGCTGATAGGCCCTCCGAGTTGACAGATGAGGTTCACAGACGACGAGCCACACCTGCAAGCGCATTACATAGATCAACCGAGGCACTTTTGAACGACGAACTAAAACGACGCCAAGCATATGCATCAACTCCTGAAGGACCAGCCGTACTCTGTGTGTTGTTTACCGCAATCTTTATTGCCTCGCCCATAATTCTCTCAAATATAATTGGATCGTGACATAGTTCGTCAATGTCTGGTTCTGTAAGAAGTGTTTCTGCAACAGGAGGACGGGCATGTCCGCATGTGGATGCTTTTCAAGTAGGACTTCACCCGTTGTTTTCCATTCAATATCACCGTTTTCATTTTCATTTTCTCCGACAGGTATTGGGGAATCTATATTTAACAAACCTCCCTAATTTGCGCTAGAAATCAAACGAACAGCTTGTCTTTTCTTTCCTTGCAGCATAAGACGATTAAATCCTCTCGAGATCTTTTCCAACTCAATTTCGGCTTTCCCACTTGTGTATGCATTTTCCTTCCAAAATCAATTTGTCAATGTTAGCTTCCGTCCATAATGCCATTCTACGTTCCAGGCACTCGACATGTTCCTTTGTTTTGCTTTAGCGTGGGGCTTTTGTAACAACAGGCTGTGCATGACTGAGCATGCTTTTAAAGCAATGCCTTGTAAAGGGGAATTATCTGCATACAATTGATATAGTCTAGCTAGTTCTGAAATAAATTAATAGAAAGATATTTCGCCTCCACTTTACAATTTCCTCGTAAGCAACATTTACACGATAAACAAACAGTTCTCCACTGAGATCACCCCATTCAAATTGACTGTGCACGTTAATATATTCCGCCGACGTCTTCTGATTTGCATTTATTACTTCCTCGTTAATACATACATTTTCACGAGTACTTATATTTTCATACTGATCTTGTTGCCGATTTTCGTTTACTAGTTCATCACTGTTATTGTTACTCCCGTTTGTCTCCTCGTCATACTGCTGGTTATCTTCGCAAGCCTTTATTACTTGAGCAGCTTTATCTCTTAAATTTTATGCTGTTAGACCCAGTGATGCATACCCTTTCTCTTCCCACATTAGCCGCATTATTTCCATATAGCCTTGTCTTCGTTTATCTTGGCTATTTCGTTCTTCTAAAGCTCTTTCTCTGCACGACATAAGATCTGATAATAATAATAATAATAATAATAATAATAATGGAAACAGGATTTATTGCTAACAATTAAGTATATAAAAGATCGAGATTACTAACTAAACTACTCTAGAACTGATATAATATACTATATAGTCATAAAAATAACTCAAGTGTTTATCTCCTGCGTAAACGCAGGGCAGTCCACTGAGAAAACAGGCAGTTAAAAGTTCACACTTGTCTACAACAATAACAATAACAATAATAATAATAATAATAACGCTATCCTGCTTAGAAAATCATTTGGTGATTGTTTTATAGAATAACTACAGTGAAACAATGACATTTTGAGAATCCCTCGAAAATCCCGCGAAGGCACTTTAATTCCTCGTGCAGGATAGCCTGATCCTGCACGGCTATTGATCAATCAAATTGCGTGTGTCACTGTAGTTATTATATAAAATGATTTACTTGAATCGCTTTTGTTTAATCCTGTAGAGATGAACTTTTATATCAAGTACATTTCTTTTTAATCTTGACCCAGATAGTAATTTATCTTTTAATCTGTCGGTCACTACAAATATATAGTACCGGAGGCATTTGCCGATAGAACTTCTAAATATAATATTAATTTTACTTTAATGCTTTTAATTAAATGCGTTCAGTCTTGTTGGGAATTTTGACAGCTTTAAACACTTGCTGATTAATCTGCGAAGATTAATCTCTGTTATCGGAATTATATCAGAAACTAGCTCAATGAGCTAACATGCGATCAAGTAAATATCCTGGAATACAATTTTGTTTCTAACCATCGTAGCTCAAAAATTGATGGGGGAGTTGGTCTTTATATGCACAACGATCCGGCCACACTACACAAATATACGAAATATGATAACTTGTATACGCCCGCTGATTGGTCAACAATATATCGTTATCGTCAAACGATAATTTTATCATTTTCGTTGTAGTACGAATAACAACATCATTTTTTTCACTAATCGTTGCGTGTTTACAAGTTATCGTATCGTTATCGTTGTGCAGTGTTACCGGGCCTTAATCGTTATTGTCACCAAAAGAAAATTTTATCTTCAGTCTTTGTTGTAGTGCGGACGCCAACATAATTTTTTCGACCAATCATCTTGTGTTCACAAGCTATCGTATCGTTATCGTTATAAAGTAGTAATTTATATAAGATGGAAATCACGAAAGCATCTAAGTTAATTAATGCACAATACACTGCAACTCTATCTAACAATTTTTAATTCAATCTAACTATTTTTAATGCAACAATCATTATGAATGAGACTTTCATTACTATTTTACTGAATAATACTGATGCATGCAGCTATTAGGTATGAGTGTTGGTAATGCTGTTATTAATACATTATTATATTCATGCTGTAAGAATTAGTGTTAGTTTTGGTGCTGTTTTTAATTATACCTTAAATATTAGTATAAGTACTGTTATTATATATGCTGTAAATATTCATGTCGGCGCTGTGATTATTCATGCCATTAACTAGTATTACTATATCAGTACTGTTATTACACATGCAAGTTATGAGTATTGATGCAGGTGCCGTTAGTATTCATGTTAAGCATTATTTAGTGTCAGTGCTGTTGTTATGGAGATGGTGTATTCTCATCTATCCAAGGTCGTGAGCGCACAAGGATTCTGAAGTGATCATAGGCGAGCGTCAAGTTCCCACCGACAATGATACCATGTGCGCTGTTATATTCTTCTTTCCCTGCAACACGTATACCGACGCCAATACCTTGAACTTCAGATAAATCGCAGCCTATAAAAGAATTATAAAAGAACGTTTAAATAAACTGCAGAGTGAGATAGTTCCACAGGATCACGATAGTTCTGCAGCCACTAAATTGTGTTATCAAAGAAACAAATTAATATATTGTCAGTGTTAGCGACAACAAGAAACAAGCCCAGGGCGACGGTACTAATTCCGCCCGGCCATTTACACCCGGGGAAAGGAATGCACTAGCCAAGAACAGAGGGGACTTTCGTCGACGCTGAATAAAAATAGTGCGGGTTCGTGGGCTTTTCCCCACAAATTTTGCTTTTCGATGTTTGGCGTACAATTTCTAAGGATGTTGAAGTTTACAGCATTGTGATTCAATGGTTTTTGAAAGCATCAGGGTTTTTTTGTTGGAAGCTATGGACTAACTCTTCAACAACCTAATGACTGTTTTTAAAGCAAAGCAATTGAAAGGAAAATTGATATTTTCATAGAAAGAAGATGAATGGCGATATTTATGTCGGACTGTTTTGAGCAGATGCTTCGAAAAACATGATATGTTCGGACCTTGTATCTTAAAAGTGTACTTGGAACAGCCGAACAAAGTGGTAGATTTTGTTACTCGGTGTGTTGGGCATCAAAATTCAAAGGAATAGTACACAGCGGCGTTAAACCGGCTATGGAAATATCCTGAATACTTCGTCGAGTTTTCTACCGCCATGTGACCTGTAGTTTAATGTGGCGGGCGTCTTTGAAAGGGCTTTACTTGACATTAATCGACGTGTAAGGTATAACTTAGGTAAGCCAACATTTTTTTGCCATGCAAGCTACATTATCATATCTTTAATGTGTGAATATTTTAAATTTTGTATAAAATTAAGAGCAATATGTTGTTGGAGAAAGTATCGAGTGCTTCATAATACCGCTCAGATCTTGTATACAGATATTCGTATTTTATTCAAAATCTACCCTTTATCACCAGGGGCCGGTTGTATAAAAACGTAGTTAGCGCTAACTGCAGTTAAAAAGTAGTTAACTCTTTTTCGTTCGCTGCTGAAATAACCAGGGGCCGTTGTATAAAACTCTTAATCACTTTTTTAATCACTATTTTGTAGTTAAATAGTGATTAACTCTCAAATACGCGCTTTTTATTGGATGACGTTTCCACTAACTATAGTTAACTTTAATCACTTTTTTATACAATCGGCCCCAGTTTTTTATTCGTTTATGTTAAAGTATACATAATCCTTGACTTGATAACACGATGATCTACTCGATGAAAATTGGGCAAAGGGGCGATCTTTGCTGAGAAACTTTGACCGTTCGGTGAAATCGGTAGTTCAAAGGCCCTATTTTAATTGTAGTATTTCGTGACAATTTGTTGGACGATTTCTAGTTTATATTGTAGAACGGGTTCCTAGTGAATTAAATTAATTGTCTATCTTCTAACGAGTAGTAATAAGCGCGATTCCTTTTTGTTGATGGATGTTGAAATCATTTTAGACTTTTCTTCATATACAACAAGTACACTACAGAGTACTGAATTACTGTTTGCAAAGAAACTAGCCTATATCACCACAAAAAATCAAGTTTATTTTAAATATACACTCTCTGCGCGAGAGTGAAGCAATCGTTGGTGAAAAAGATATATTGTGAGACATTGTATATTTTGCCAACATCTACAAAAAGTTGAAAACTGTTTGTCTATGCAGAAAACTATTCGGCTTACTGTCAAATTTTAGCAAAGCGGTAAGGGGGTATAGATAACAGTGTCCTGATGGGGTAATATGGAAACGGAGATTTTCCTATTTTGTGACTGGAAACATGGGGTTTGGGTTATTGGGACTGGGAATGGCAAAACCAACATAGCATTATAAAGACAGTTGTAGTTGGACATTTTAAAGTGAAAAACTTTAATAAGAACAGCTGCAGATCTACAACAGTTTTTAATAGAGAATTTGTGTAGAACGTTCAGGAAAACCTAATATATTTAACCGACTTAGGCTTGTTTGATACCTCGAATGTCAGTCGCGTCGAATACAATTCAAACAATAGATAATGAAACTTAATTAATAAGGTGTATCATCTCATTATCTATTGTCTTAATTGCATTCGAGGGACAAACTTCGACGTATAAAACAGGCCTTATGCATGCTCAATGAGATCATGTTCGTGCCACTGCAAGTCAGTCATATACCTTTTTCTGGGCAAAACTATAATTCTATGGAGGGCAATTGAACGCAGGAATCGCAGGGTCGCAAGTTCAATTCCTGCCAAAGGAGCTAGTCAGAGGCGTAGCCAGGGCGGGGGCCAGGGCCCCCGCCAACCCCCGTCCCCGGCAAAATTTTGCCCCCCCCCCTGATAAAATGTTTTGTATAAAAAAGGGAACCCTTGATTATATAGCTCATGCTGTCAATAATTCAAAAATTCTGTAGAATACATGCTTTACTGCGCATCAGTGTGAAATCTAAAATCTTGTTCGCTTATTTGCGGCACACAGCTGAAACACATACGTTTTCTAACCCTAATTATTTCAATATGTATTAAATGAGGGTTAGATGAAGTTTAAACCAATCTGTTTTTTACCAGTGAATTTTTAACGCGGGCTCGGCGAAAAACCACATGTGCAGTGGCGCCGTGGCCGTGAACGCAAAATTGTGTAAAAAACATAGATGACCCGCTCGGCGTTCTTCGTTTAATTTCACTGTGTGACTGGAAGTTGAACTGAAAAAAGGGCCAGGAAATGGTATTTAGAAAACATTTGGGCTTCGAATTGGGGTCTAGACCCCCCCCCAAGTAAAGATCCTCAGATAATCGCTGCTAACCTGAATTGTTTCTGCTGACAACTCCCATACGTGCTTGTATCTCATTATTGTCTCCAACATTGAAGCCTACTTCGTAGCAACCTGACTGAAAATGATTTATCGCGACACCACCAGCCGTTATACCATTAACCCAATCCTGAGGATTCAACTCAAGGACTTTCTTCCCGAAGAATAAACTATGAAGGTTTGGAGCTTGGACGGGAAAGGAAATTCCAAAATTATCAGACGTCAAACAAACTGCTGTGACATTGGCATCAAAACTAGTGGAATCCAACTGATCAGTCGTATTCCGCGTCGTCCACAGCTCAGCGTTATAACTTGTGCTATTCTAAAAGTAAAATATCAAAGTGAAATGCAGGACGATGATTCCGAAATTCTGATTTTATCATCATAGTATCATATGTAGTGTCTTCCATATACAATTCGAAGACAGGAAATTTAATGAAAAACTCATCAATATAAAATATTGAAAGGTAAAATTTTATGTATATATAACATAGCCAACAGGAAATGACGTTTTGAGTTTGTCATAATAGTGACACCTATAACTAAATAATAAAAGTAAAATGGTGCAGCGTAATACTAAATAGCGAGCTTAAATTGCACCAAATCTACGACGCGGACGCGAAGAAAAACTGTAACTATTCTCAAAGTTTCACTACACGGATAAAGATTATGGCCTCCAGTTGATAAACAAAGTCAGAGACACAAGTGAAGCAAAATAAAACTGGACTCCAAACATTAGAAACGGTTTTTATGTCACGTCCGCGTCGTAGATTTGATGCATCTTAAGCTCCCTAATAATAAAAATAGTACAGACTGAGTAACTTAATAAAAGATAATGTGATGTGCATGGGATATCTAGACAGAAAGACTGACTGTCCCACAAACAGACTTTTGCTCCGCGCCGGGTGGATATACCCTTGGAGACAAAATGGACTACACATTTGTCAAAACTTGTTAATTTTAATTCCTTTCAAATACGAGCATACATCCATGCACTAAGGTCAATCGAGTAGAGACCAGATAGTATTCATAATGTCTGGCATGTGAGCGACCCATTTATGATGCCAAAAATCTCAAATAGTAAAAATAGTTCATTCATGCAGTTAATATAATCTTCTCTTTCAGACTCGTATTATATCCTCACGTATTGCACACAAATATATTTTCCCCTTTGGTATTGACCAATTTCGACAAAATGTTGCCTTCCAGTTAGATAGTTGAGAGATATTCATTCAGAATCAAAGACGGTTGAGTTCACTTTGCGGTTTTATGCCAGAATGATGTGCATTATTACCTCTTGATAAGTGTTGCCAACAACGTCAGAACAACTTTCAAATTTTTTTGACCAAAACTCCACATTAAGTTGGAAAACTGGGGTTTGAATAACGGAAAATATTGCTAGAACTAATTTATTAAAGGGAGGCAGATTTTGTAAAACACGACATCAATGTGCCGATAAACATTGAAATGCTTAAAACTGAGTAACATATCTTTTACGCATGCGTATGAGATGGACCATCGTTTACGCATGTAACTATATTTGCAGGTACAGTATGTAACATACACTGTATACCAATAGAATTTGGTCGGGAAAAAATTTCGTGCACATTTTAGAAACTCGCAATAAACTTACATTGAATGGATCTCCAGAAATACGACCAACCAAAGTCCATCCATTTCCTTCACATCCAATGATGTTTGCTCCGTTATCACAAAAGGTATTCGCATAGCCGTCGCTATTACGTGCTTTTACATTATAAATACCAGCTAAGGAATTTCCACCATTGCTAAAAACGAGTAAACTATAATTAGGCCGTGGTGCTTGGAAAATAATATTGCTCGAACTGTGATATGCAGTTGGTTTTTGTTTATGGGATTTTCGAACAAGAATTTTTTAACCGGCTCTTTAAAATATGATCTCATACCTAGCGTATTAGCGGCTTTCCTATTGGCTACGAGGAAGTGCGTTCAATCTAGAACCCACCCATTGAACTATAAATAAACTGGAAGGCTAACTCAGGAGGGGGGGGGGGGGCCGTGCTTTGTAGGTAGTGCCAGTCCTGTTTTGCAAACTTTTTTTGAAAAATACACTTTATATATCGGTAAATGTTACTCCTTTAATTTCTTTTCCCCCTTTCCTTTTCCATTTTCAACATTTAAATAAAAAATTAATTAACTGTTTTTAATTGTTTTATAATTCTTATTTTTAATTCTGTTTGATGAAAATGGAATATTCTGTATTCAAAGTGGAAGAGAAGAAAGATGGCCGCCGAAATTTGTTCGGCACGGGCAGGTTTATATAAATCTTGGCAATGTTTTCGCAGAATGTATGCGTTTCCTCTTTTCAGGAATAAGGAAATATTGTAGCGAAATTTTCTAGCTTCAATTTAAGCCTAAGTTTGTTTGTTTGCGTAGTATTTTGGCGGCTAAAATGTTCGTTTAATATCCAAACATGAAATTATATACTAAAATGCGTAAATCCTTCAGTACTTTTTACCGAAATGGCATGTGATAAAAACCAAACATATATACTTGCAGAGTTCGGTGAGTCCGGGATTGGACGCAACTCGGGTGGCTGGAAGTTTCCCGAACTCACCGAGCGAAGCGAGGTGAGTTCGGGAAACTTCCAGCCACCCTCGGTGCGTCCAATCCCGGACTCACTTTCCCGCAAGTATGCTCAGTGTTACAAAACTTACCAAGCTATCCTGTGTGCTTCAACGCAATCATCGTATATTTCGGCTCCTGAAGGAAAATAAACACACATGTATACAGATAAGTTTTGTTTCACCTTTTCCAGTCTTTTTCCAACTTTATGTAAAAAACAACAAGAAATATAATCGACGGAATAAAATTGGCCAAATACTTGAGTGCACTTTACTGGGATAACTTGCACAAATGGAATGACAAAATTCAATTTATAAACCGTGGATTCTCCCTCTTGCCCCGAAAACCGTGTCATGTTTTCGTGTCAAAACATTCAGGAATACGTCTTCATCCCTACGCCCATTGTCGTGAAAATGTAAAACTATTTTTAGCTATGTGAATATAAATTCTCGTGGACCAATTAGAAATCGCCATTCTCATAAAGGAAAGGTTCAGATCAGGCCAGATCATGATCAGGGCGTAATAAAGCGCCCTGGTTCAGATTTAACTTCCACTACCGCTACCTCTCACTGGTTTAGGTTTATTTTCAATCTCACTGATTGGTTAACGGGATGTATGAAACGCATCTGATTGGTTAGTGGCAGTGTAAATCAAACAGGTACCTCTCTAATGTCGATTTCGCGAGATTCGGAACGTGGTTTCATTCATGAATGTTTATTATGTTTTGACGAGAAAACATTGCATGCTTTTTCGAAGGAGAGGAGAGATTCGCGGTTTGGCCCGTAACTGGAGATTAAACTTTAGTGTAGTCATGCTTGTATTTTATAGCTTAAAGAACTCAATAAAAGCTGTCGGTATAGAGTGCCATGATACTAGTAATGCACGATAAATTTGTATAAAATAATTAGTCAATCTTTGAAAAAAGAAGTGTGACTATGGAAAGATGCGACAGCAGTTACTGTATAAATGGTTTAAAATGTCATTTTAAAATATCAATAAAATGTTTCTGCAATCTGCGAACCGTTTTCAGGTGACAATGCTTTACCAAAGCATTTTCTTCGCCATTGTTGCACAGAACGTCATGCAATTATATGTACATGTAATTAAAAGTTGCCTGGTTATTTCTCTGTAGATATAAATTATTGACGAATAAAATTTTCATGATCTGGTATTTCATTATCAAAACAAAAACGAGCGTTCATGTGGCAGAAATTTCGGTCGGAAGTAAGCAACAGCCTTCTAGTGCGATGTTTAGTGGGCATCGCTACAACCGTATAGGGGGAAAAGTCGACTTTGTTCAAGTGGTGAAACACAACATTATATGTTTACCTGAAGAACATTCTACACCTGCGTCTTCACCGTGCCCGCAATAATGATTTCCTAATCCGTCATGAGAACAACTGAGTAGATTTTGTTCACTTCCATTACATCTGACATTAGTTAACCATATCTGTCCAGTACCTACAGGAACGTCACCCCCCTGAAGTGCTCTAACAGTATATTGATAACCAAGTTGACGACACACAACCCTAGCATCATTTATGTCCCAAAGATCATCACAAATTGTTCCCCATCGTCCGTTGACAAATATCTCCACACGACCAGTGCCTTTGGAACTCAACGGGCCTTGTAACCTGATGCGTGGACCTGTAAATATTTAATACAAATTAAAACCGATGCAAAGTGAGATAATAAAATGCCCATTTAATGAGCGCACTTGCACATGAGAGAGGTTTGAACAAATGCATGCATGCCGATAGTTGGGTGCTAAATAACGTAAATCGCAATATGTTTCAGCATTTTCAATTGCGTCAAAGTAATTTCTGTCTTAATTCTCTGAAACAAAGCAGTACGCTTAGTTAAGTTCAGTATATGATATAGTTTGAAAGGAAAGCAGCGAATTCCTTTAATAGTTTCCACTGGCAAACTGGCGGCTGGCACTCTGGAAAAACTGCATGGCGCTCTGGGAAAACTTGCGCTCTGGAAAAAGTGGCACTCTGGCAAAACTGGCGCTCTGGCAAAACTGACTGGCGCTATGGCGAAACTGGCGCCTGGCTCTTTAGAAAACTGGCGCTCTGGTGAAAATGGCACTCTGGCAAACTGGCGCTCTGGTGAAACTGGCGCTCTGGCAAAACTGGCGCTCTGGCAAAACTGGCGCTCTGGCGAAACTGGCGCTCCGGCAGATGGATAAAAAGCCAAAAACGTAGATAATTTTGGCGTATGGCATTCAGAGGCGTTATAGATGACGTAATACATAGTTTGTATAATTACCATTATTATTTACAACCAGAATAATTTTGTATATTATATTTGCGACGTGTTCTGTGCTTTGCTACACGCCTTAATCACCAATATGTCGACTAGTAAGTAAGTACAAAACCTCTCTCGGCTTTCGGGTACATTTAATCACTAATCTCTCTGAATGCCATGCTATTACATATGAATATAATTACGTTTAAAAAATTATGTGCTAGGAACCAAGTGCTCATATGACGTTCCGGCACAGTTTCATTGGATGAAAACAATATTATAATTTTACCTGCCGAAGAACAAATTACTCCTGCATCTTCATAATGTCCGCAATTATGACTTCCCCAGCCAGAATGAGAACATCTTTCAAGACTTCGTTCGTGTCCAGTACATTCGACATCATCCAACCATATCTGGCCACTGCCATCAGGAACATAGGCACCTTGAAGTGCTGCAAGAGCATTTTGATAACCAAGTTGACGGCAAACAACACTAGCATCATTTATATCCCAATAATCATCACAGATTGTTCCCCATCGTCCATTGTAGTATACTTCAACACGACCAGTACCATTGAAAATTGATGGTCCTCGTAACCGGACGGCTGTCACTTTATCTGTAAAAAAAATATTAAAACATCTCTGAGCGGGTGGTGGCAGTTACAAGAAATGTAGATTGTAACATTTATTTCGAATTAGAATTGGCAGCCTTGGAATATAGAGTATATATTTATTATCCACCTATACAAATATCTTTTAAATTATGTTATATATATATATATGCATTGAAAGCGAGTCCCAAAATCTAGAATAACTTTAATAATTCCAGTGATACAGTTTTAACACAATAGATTTTTCCTTGTTTAGGTCCCGCAATTCTGTTTTCTATTAATTATATTTACCTTCGCAATCAGTTCCAAATTCTCTAACACAAGTACACAGGAAGGATCCATCAATGTTGATGCAGGTTGCATGTTGGTGACAGTCGTGGACAGATAGGGAACATTCATCTATATCTACACCACAAATTATTGTCGTTAACATTCTTACATATACATTATGTAGTGCTATTTTGTAATAAAATTAATTTATTTTTACTCAATGATGTTTTAGGGCGGCTTCCTTGGGTTTTTGCATAAAAAGGAACAATAGTATTCAGGAGACTTCTGTTTCTTCGTTGTGCATGATATGTAGACGAAATTAATAGGAAACATAATAAGGACATACCATAGCAATAGAAGCCATTTCCGGAGTAACCAAGGTTACATCTGCACGAATAACTCCCAACAGTGTTAATACATTGAGAATTACTACCACAATTGTCCCATCCTCGGGCACATTCATCAACATCTGTACAGGATAATCATACACAGAAAAAAGTATGAGTAAATTAATCCTTTCACACCTATTCGCAAATTTATATTTACTTCAAAACAGTTCTGATATATTCAGTTCTGAATGAAGACACTGCGCCTTTTTGCATGAGTAGTATTTTTAAATCCTGATTAAAATACTTCGCGGAAAATTGGTAAAACTCTTAACAGTACAATTGGCTTCAGCAGTTTCCTAGCCTTGCGTGTATAATTATAACGTTGTACATAATACTGGAGAGGAAATGTGGGGAAAATAAGTGTTTCTACTGTGCGCAAGCTTTTTTCGAAATCCTGTGGATAATTTATATTCAATCTTCTGTTGAGCAGGCTGGTGGTGTTTTCATGGCCTGCATGATGTATGAAATGTCGTGGATCACAAAGGTTGGAATTCTCTATCAATCATCTGTATATCTACCGTATATTGGCACAGCTTCAGACAAAACCGAGAGGATTTGGAAGGAGGCTGGCATACAGGCATATCATTCTAGTGAAACAAATTGTCTAGCATTCTTTGCAAGGATTATGATGCGCGGAGAGATATCATGTAGACTATGAACTTCGCATGAAATGCGGCCATGGGACCAAGCAATCATTTTCGCGATTGACAACCTTCTGTCTTATATACCTGCACTGATTTTAATAGTTTAAATGACGTGATTGTTCTGATCAATTAATTTTAAAATGACGCGGGCAAAGAGATCGCGATACTGACATTTGGTACGAGTGCAAATTAAAACTTATAGTTACACAATAACTACTTGTCGGCGCTGATGCCAGCCTATTGCCGCCATGCTATGATTAGCAATCGCAAAGCACTAACACTGGCTACAAAATGGCCGGCTAGGCTTAAACGCTCAGGAGGGCGAGTGCATTTCGCAAACGTACTGGCCAGGAACATGCTTGCATGGTGATCGTGCTTTGTATAATTGCAAACCACGGTGGGGCGGTATTTTCCCAATATAACCCTGAAACACGTTTTGTTTTATTATTTAATATTATCTTAAAAGAGTGGTTAAAAACAAAATAATAATTCTACCTGTTAAAGAACATTGTACTCCTGCGTCCTTATAATGCCTACAATTATGATTTCCCCATCCGTTATGAGAGCAATTGATTAGACTTTGTTCATTTCCAGTACATCTTACATTGTCCAGCCATATCTGTCCAGTTCCGTCAGGAACTTGGTACCCTTGAAGAGCTCGCAAAGCTCCATGCGGATAACCAAGTTGACGACATACGACTCTAGCGTCATTTATATCCCAATAATCATGACAGATTGTTCCCCATTGTCCATTGTAGAATACTTCCACACGACCAGTACCATTGAAACTTGATGGTCCTAACAACCGGACGGCTATCGACTTATCTGGAAAAATTAGACCAAGTAATGACGGAAATGTCCCGAACAATGCCTTGCATGCAAAACATTTTCACTCGAAAATTTGAAGAAAATAAATGCACCCAAAGTGACTCAAAAGAGTAAAATTTCTCAAATTTATAAGTATAAATTTACTCATTTTGTTCAGTAAAGTAAACCTTACTCAAACATTAAGTTAATTTGAAACTTCTGAATATTGAGCAAATTTACTTACAGTATAAATTTGAGTAATTTTACTAAAAAATTCGAGTCACTATGGGTGCATTATTTTAATCAAGTTTTTGCCAAAATGTTTTGCAGTGTATATAGACAACATCGTTTAACTTAAATATGGCGGGAAAAGCGAACGAGTCCCTGTTAGAAATTCGTACGATTTAGCAGATCCGTGCGTGTTTATATTACCTCTGCATGCAGCTTTCAGCTGACGTATTATTCTCGCCATGCAGTTATTTTTTAGGAAAATTAGCCTGTCAACGCAGTGTGAAATTGAATAAGTGAATGATAATGAAAATTATTGTTTTATAAAAGTTAATTAATAGAGTGGTTCAGATTTGATTTCCACTACCGCAACCATAAACCAGTCACTTACTAAGCCAATGAGAGGCAGTGGTAGCGGAATTTAACTCTGGACTTCTCTAATGAAACTGAAAGTACCATGACATGAACTTGTGGGTTGGCTCTTATCTCCGTATTCGTCTGAAGACTGCATCGTTACACTTTCGTTTCGTGCACGCATGCAAAGGGTCTATATACAGTTACATAATATATGATGTAGTTGTCTTTATAGTTGTAGTCTTTATATAATTGTAGTTTTCACTGCTCATTCCCGAACAAAAAACTCAATATTGTGTTCTAACGAAACGCTTTTGTATGTTACAAGATACTGAGCACCACAACGCTGAAATATAATTTCCTAACAACAGAAGAATAATTTTATCTTCTTTAGGCGCCATAATAGCGTACTCTGTTTACCTTGGCAAAGAGTTTCGTTTCCTGCAAATTCTTCATCACAAATGCACAGGAAAGATCCATCAATATTGATGCAGTTTGAATTTGGGTGGCAGTCGTCAAGAGATAGAGAGCATTCATCTATTTCTAAAAATGCATAACAAATAAATTCCATTAATATTTTTCAAACAATGCAAAACCTAGTATTCCCATTAAGTTAATTTTTGCCCGTTTTTTTCAGTCATTTCTTTTCTACTCAATCATTCTGGCCAAATTGATGTTATAAAGATGAGCATAGTCTATTTACCTTGGCAAAAAGTTCCATTTCCAGTATATCCACTCTCACACGTGCAGAAAAATGATCCACGAATGTTGGTGCAAGAAGCGTTGGAATGACAGTTGTCAATCGATAGGGAACATTCATTGATGTCTAAGGATAAAAAACATTCGTTAATGACTTTTTCAGTGTAGTAGTAACAGAATGGGTTATTCAAGTTATTCACCCCATATTTTTCAGTTCGCAAAATGTTTTAGAAAATTTCTATATCTTATTCATACCAAGAGGGAAGCAAATATTTCGTAATTAACTATTTCGGTTTTTTGTTGCATGGTTGACAAATTATTATATGTTACTGACATTATTTTTGCAAATGGCTTTGCTAGAATTTCATTGAATTCGGAAAATAGAAAGCATGTCGTAGGTGGGAAATTAAAGATGGATATCTTTCTTAAATCAATATTTGAAAATAAGTATAGTTTTGCCATTTTAATGAGAGAATGTTTTACTCCATAGACATTTTGGCCAATATTTGTTTGTACCCATTTTACAACTTTAAATAACTCACATGTCTAGTTACTGTTGTTCTTGACTATTAACAGAAGCATATATAGAATAGAGCAAAGGTAACTAAAGTTTTGGATGATGTGCACTAGTGGATAACTCTTATACGTACATAATTCTAATGCGTTATGCATGCGTGCTTTGTAAATACCTTTGTTCTCTTCTATTGCTATGTATTATACTGACTTTGAACGAGTGTTTAAGGTGGCTCGCAAACAATTTAAAAACAGGAAAAATTGATCAAACCTTAATTTGAAGGAATGATACTTCTCGACACAACTATGTTGTGTTTTTTCCGTAATATGATAAGTTGAAAATGTTCCGGAGTGTGTATATCATAATTTCCAGAAAATTTGTCTGATCGTGTAACTCAGTTGGTAGAGCGTCGATATAGTATTTCGAAGGTCGTGGGTACAAAACGCAGCCGCGGCAGGCAATATCTTTCTGCTTGCGCGCGGTCTGTATATATATATATATATATATATATATATATATATATATATATATATATATATATATATATATATATATATATGGATTTGGATTTGGGTTTATTAAAATGATTACATCGCAGCTTTACAGCTGAATTGCGTAATTTACAATTGGCTAATTGGACAAGAAAATTTGATATATTACATGAATAATTTACTATTTTAATAGTGATTACAGTAAAAAGTTTAAAAGGTTAATTTACTCAATAATTGTATGTGTATTTTACTCTAACAATTGTATGACTATTATAATAGTAATTACGATAAAAAGTTTAAAAGGCTAATTTACACTAATAATTGTAT